TTTTAAAATCTCTTAGATAAAAAGTTATAGCCATTTAAAAAATTGAAACACTTTGTGTAACTGTTGAGTATAGACTTACTGCACCATAACAAAAAAAATTTCTTGTAAGATTTTACTATAAGTTTATCTTCTATATCTACCTTAACCTTACCCAAACACTAATCCTAATCATATAAAAAACTATTGGTTTAATTTTATATTATTTTTGATCTTATGGGGTGCGTTACAATGCACCTACGATAAATGATTAAATCCTATAGATTATATATAAATATAGTAATATATAATTATTATTATATATAAATAAAATTTTAAAATTAAATAACTTTTGATCTACTGAACTAATTTGGATGATTTAACCACCAAAATGATCTTCTCAAAGAGAGGATTCGAATGAATCTAAAATCATCTAATTCTGATAATGTAATCCTGAGATCGATAGAGTTTTGTATTATATTACTATATAATAAATATAATACAAAACTCTATCAATCTCGAGATTATGTAATTGAAATTAGATAATTTTAGATTCATTTGAATCCTCTTTTTGAGAGGATCATTTTGGTAGTTAAATCATCCAAATTGGTTCAGTAGATCAAAAGTTATTTAAGTTTAAACTATTATATATAATAAGATTATAATTATATAATATATTATAAATATAGAAATATTGTTATAGTGCTATAGCATTATGGTGCTATAGTACTATGGTACGACCCTTAGCTTATGATGTAATTAAAATATTATTTCTATAGTTTAATAAATTAATATAGATCAGAATAATTAATTATTTTTATTTTTTTGTTTATACTCAATCCTAGTAAAGGAAAGCAATCATAATAAAGCTACTTTGATATTAATTATAGCATATTGTATTGCATAAGCCTTTCTAATTTTTTCACTTACACTTAATACATACCAATAAAGGAAAACAATTGTACTAAACTGACCTTGATATTAATAACTACGTATCATATTATATAAGTCTTATTTTACATCTATGCTTAATACTAGTAAAAGCACTAAGCCAACTTTAACTATAACGAATCATATTGCATATTAATCAGATTGAAGTTCACAAGAAAGCTCAGACAAATATAATATTTCACAATTAGAAATATGCAATAGATAGAATTAATGTTAATAACAATAAACTATATGAAATAATAAATTCTGAAAGTACCTATTGCAATGAAGTTTAGGTAAATATAATGTTTTCTGGGTGAAATAATACATTTAACGAATTTGATCTTGGAAATTAAGTTGAAAGTGAAAATGACTATATAGCAAATTCAGAAGTAGCTTATCAGAAAGAATTTCAGACCAATACAGCTTTTTGTGATTAGGATTATATAGAATATAAACTTGACATACTTTATAATAACTAAATTAATTTGATGTTAGTAGTAATACATTGCATTAAGATGAATATGAAAGAAATGATGATCATTATAAATTAAAAGTAGGCATGATGTTTTCTAATTGGAACTATATTATGAATAAAATAAGAAAATATAAAAAAGGGAAAGATTTAAAATATGTTGTTATTATATTGAAAAATTAGATAATAGTAATATTCGATAGCGTACGTTAGTTTGTGAATATTTCAGACATTCTGAAGTAACAAAAAGTAAGGATCAGAAAAAAGAAACAATGACTAAGCATGTTGGTTATACATAGCAGATAAACCTGTTATGCTCTAAGAAAGATAATCCTTATAGAATCATATATGTTGCAAAATTTATCAATGAATATAAAAATCATGATCTTGACTAAGCACATTATAACTTTTAGAAAAACATAATATTTACTAAGGAGATGACTAAGAATGTTAAGTTCTTTGTAACTAAGATAAATTGTAATCCTTAGCAAATTTGTAAAGCTCTTGAGGAGAAATATTTTGTAAAGGTCTATATGCCAATGCTGCTCCAAATGATCTAATGGTTTCATCTAAAATTATGTGATCAAACAAATAATGTTAGTAAATTGTATAAGATATTATTAAATAAGAAAGAAGCTGATCCTAGATGGTATGTTCAAGTAGATTGGAACCCTCACAGTAAATGTCTTTACTGTTTATTCAACATGTCTCCTGACCAGATTAAAAAATGGCTGAAATTTGGTGATGTTGTTCTGAATGATAATACAAATGCTACTAATCACTATGAAATGGTATTGTCACTTTTTTTGATGGTTGATAATCATTTATCTTCTCAATTAGTAGCTTAGGCACTAACAAATGATGAAACAAAAAAAGCATATAGCTGGATACTACAGCAAATTAAAAATGCAACAAATGGTTTTATTTTTCAAGTCATCTTTACTGATGCCAATCCCACCTTAGTTACTGCAATACAAGATGAATTCCCAAATACAAATGCTCTTCATTATATATTTTATATTGTGCAAAATACCACTTTTAATTTGAAAAATCACCTTAAAAATAATTATAAATAATTTGTTAGAGATTTTTTTAAAGTACAATGAATTAGCTTCATTATAATCTTCAAATATCAGTGGAAATGTCTGCTTGAAAAATATAATAATGATAATGTGGTTAATTATTTGCAACAGCTTTATGCTAATAAAGAATCACAGGCAAAGGCGTTTGTGCTTAAATTATTTACAGTGGGAATGTTGTCTACTTCTCAGATTAAAAGCTATAATACAAAGTTTAAAAGATTGATATTTAATTCCAACACAACTAAATTAGAACTTTCAGAGAAGTTAACAGCATGTATTCTTGAGGAAGACAAAAAAACTGAATATGCTTTATTTCATGTTTAGTTTCTAAAGCAGTTCTTACTACAATAGCCAATACTATTCTTCCAAATGTTTGCTAAATAATATGCATATATTTAACTATAAAAATTTTAAAAATTCAAAAGGATCAAATAAAGCAGTCGCTTCAATATTATGCTGTGATGGTGGCTCAAAGTGAATTGCAAAAATATCTCACTATAAATAATAATAAAAAGACTTGTATTAGTTAGTTTAGTATAGTAGTTATGAAATATTAAATGTGTTTTATCAATACAAATTACAGATAAATCTAGATGATCTTATCTTATTTAGTAAAAATCAAAATCTTGATATTATCACTAAGTCAATGCTTGATTTGATCAATAAAAACAAAATTGTTAAAATGTGGAGAATTCAGTGTATTGTATTAAATAAAATATAGAATTTTGTAATACTCTTAAATGATGGAAATTATGCTTTGACTATTGTAATCATGGAATTGTTTGCTACCATTTTTTTCAGATTATACTATGCACATAGGCTGCAACATTCTATATTCAGCTTATTAGGTTATGATGATACAAAGTATCTAATAATGATCTAGCGCAAGAACTATTTTTAGTTATACAGAAATTTGAGACAGAGTAATCAGTAACAATAGGTTAGAATGGTTTAGTTTCACATCTTAATGCTCTAATTCAAGGTTCTGTATATGAAATGCAGAATATGAATCGCAAGCTTATAAATAAACATAAACTATATAGAGAAGTATGAGGCAAAGCAAGAGCAATCTTAATAATAGCTGTTTGAAAATGTGATTATAATTTTATTGCTATTCTCAACAAATATATAGAGGATTGTCAGGAAGATCTATCTTCTAATAGTGATAGTGATACTGGTTCAAATAGTGATATTGAACAAAATTTAGATCCAAAAGAGTTAATAAATCCTCATAAGCATAAAGCCAAAGGTCAACCTAAGAGAACTGATAGAATGTATCGTGTGAGTGAGCCACTGAAAAAAGGAAAGTGCAAATTATATGGGTTGTTGCCTAGCAAATCAGAGCTTAGAGACAAATTTGTTATTTGTAAATATCAACGATTAATTATTTTAATGCAAAATCTTGTATTGTGATAAAATTAGAATATTGCATATAGTTGCATTAGCATATTTTCTTTTAAAATTATATATTGTGCTTGAAATTATATATTGCGTTCTATTCTCACTATAGTGAAATCCTTGATATAGTGAAGCCTAATTAAAATCTTAATATAGAGTGCTCTTAAGCATTAACCTCAATATAATTGGCATGCAATCATAATAGCGCTCAACCATAATTATATTTATATAAAAGTTTTTGTTGAAAAATCAGTAGTAAATGATCGTAATGATGCTTATTTATCATGATTGATCAAAGAGTGCTCTTAAACATTAACTTCAATACAGCAATATAATTAGCATGCGATCGTAGTGCTCAACCATAATTATATTTACATAAAATTTTTTGCGGTAGTAAATGATCGTAATGATGCTCATTTATCATGATCGATCAAAATAATTTTAGTTTAAGTAAAAAATAATTTGTTAAGCCAAAAACAAAAATTTATAGCGAGTTACTTATAATGAAGTTATTTAACGGCTATAGTTGGTTATCTTTAATTTTTTATTAGAATTAATGTTAAACTTTTATATATTTTAATAAAGAATTTTGCAAAACTTTTTCTGTAATAAATTCTAAGAATTCGTCTTGCTCTGTTGCAAAAAAACTCTAATTTCATCAAAATTTTCTATATTAACTTGAATTACTTAATAACAATGACTGAACACTTCGATGATAATAGTCATGAAAATGACATAAATAATATTGCACCTTCTTTTGCTGAACTAGAAATCGAAGAATACGACGAAGAAGATGAACTTATTCGCCAAAACGTTTAAGAATTGTGGGAGTTTTGGCAAAAAAAAGCATGCACTTGTAGAAAAAGAAAAAAAAAAAACAAGTCCTGCTTTGAAAAAATTGGCTTCTGCCAATTTTTTAAAAGACAAGAAGTATGTCGAAATATGTCTTATAATGTTTTAGATACCTGGATTAAAGGACAGCTTGCATCATTCGCATATCATGAATTACAAGAAAATGAAGAACAAAATCGTATAAAATATCAATATTATTACAATAATAAACTTGTTGTATGTTTACCTACCTATTTAACACTAGTTGGAATTTCTTCATCTCGTCTTGATAGAATCAAAGCACATATGAAAAATTATGGAATGGAAGAAATAATTCACAGTAATACGGGATGTAGTTCAATTCGACCAAATTATGCTATAATTGATGATCAAATAAAGCAAGAAATTAGCAAGTATCTTAATAATTATGCTGATCTTTACGGATTTCCTTCACCCGGCCAAAGTTTGAAAAACAACTCAACACCTGTTGTTTCACTTCCTAGAGACAAAACGTATACTAGTGTCTATGAGGAATATATAATTAATATTAAATCTAATAAAGATGAAGACTATAGAATTCTAGCCTACAGATCATTTTATCGAATTTGGAAAGAAGTTGCACCTCATATTCGGTTCATGACTCAGGCATCTGATCTATGTGATAAATGTGAACAACTTCGTACTAAAATTCGAGTTACTAATGATATTGAAAATAGGCAAAGGCTTCAAGCTGAGTATGACCTTCATCGTGCAGCTGCAATAGTTGAATATCAGTATTATAATGAAAATATCAATATTAGTAAACAACCAATGTCTAATATTGTACATATCTGTTATGACTGGGCTCAAAACGTTCCAATTCCTTATTTACCACGGCAGCCTGGGGGGTTATTTTTTAGATCGTTATTCAACGTTTATGTTTTTGAAGTTGCTAACACTAGTTTAATAACACAAAGAAATTATTTAATTGGTGAACATCAATTGCCAATGAAAACACCTAAAGGCGCCAATACTACTCTCAGCCTAGTATATAATAGTTTACTTAACTAGAATCTGACGCAAACATATCTAAAAATTACATGTGATAACTGTGGGGGCCAGAATAAAAATAATCTTACTCTTTAGTTTTATTCATGGCTTACTATGATCAAATTCTTTGATGTAATCGAACTTAATTTCATGATTCCCGGTCATACCAAGTTCATTTGCAACTTATATTTCAAAATTATTAAATCCCAATATCATAAACATAATGTTATGAGTATAGACCATGTTAAAACAATCACCAATCAATCAAAAAAAGATGGGAGTAACGTAGCAGTTAGATATGACAAAAATGATCAAATAGGATGGAATTATTATGATTTTGAAACTTTTCTCTCACCTTATTTTATTAAATATGATGGTATATGGGCATTTCGGCACTTTTATTTTTATTATGATAAACCTGGAAAGGTTTTTATGTCATTAGAGGCTAATGGTTTAAAAACTGAAGCTAAAATTCGAAATAATATTAACTTTGATCCATACAAACCTTTAGACATAATTTCCTTAAAACCTTTATCTTTAAAACGTCAAGCATATTTATTTAAAGAGGTTCGTCCATATATACACGACCCTTACAAAGATGAATTGTGTTTTGCTCCAAATGAGCATGATAGTAAAAAGTATAATTAAACTTTCTTACTCTTGTATAACGAACGATATGTATATGTATGTAGATCACCCCTTAAATAAAGATTTCTAAATTTAGAATATAACGCCGGATTAAATAAAAAAACTGCGTACAAGATTGTACCAAATTATTATATACCAACAAGTATCCAAACTTTTACCATGAATAAAGCACAAACTTGGAAATATAATCCGCCAAAAATCTCAATTTCGGTTAAAACCTCTCTAAGCCCCGATTTGCTAGGCAACAACCCATATTGTAAAATTTGTGGAGATACTAATTATAATCAGGTGACTTGTTCTAAAAGATAGAAATTATAATTTTATAATGTATATATAGATAATAGAATAGCTATAAGCAATATGTACTGCTAAGTATTGTTAATATAAATGATGTCAAAAAAGCCAAAAAATTTGAAGTTTATTGGTTTTCTTTTTGGTATCATTTTAAGTTGCTTTTAGAATTGTTGAATTAAAAATCAAAGGTTTAATTTAATTTGATATAAATACTAACTCTGTGTTTGAAGTTAGCATCTGCTTGAAGTCAAGGTTAGTTTTAGTTAGTATGTCTAAATTGTTAACTTTGAGCAGATATCACACAATACTACTAACTTAAAAATCTCACTATAATACAAATATTAAAATTTTAATATTTTGGTTGCAAAAGTACCTTTCTAAATCTAGTAGTGAAATTCGAAATTCTTATGTTTGGTGATACTAATTTTAAAAGTTTTGCTTTTATTTGAATAAGATTTATCATAAGGCAGAATACTGATATCGATAAAATGAACATGCTAATTATAATATTCATTTTTAGCATTATAATTCAAATAGCAGACTTATATTGGAGTTAGAAGGTAAAGGTTACGATTATAGTTGTATTGTATATTATAATAAATGAGTACTGTAAAGCTAAAACCTGCAAATCTTATAAATTTTGCAGGTTTTAGCTTTGCGGCACTCAAATATGCATTACTAGACTTGTATGATTATAAAATTTTCTAAAATAATCAGAATAGCAATAGTTATTGATAATAGAACAGATTACTTAGCAATATAAATTAAAAATCGAATTAATCATTAGTTGTAAAGTTAACAACTAATTGATTTGAATTTACAGATCCAACTTAGTTGATTAATCGATTAGTCAAATAATCAATTAATTGATTAGCCAACTAATCGATTAATCAATTAGTCGATTGGTCAATTAATTGACTAATCAATTGGTCGATTAAATTAACTATATAAATATAAAAATATCAACCAGTTGTTTCAGTTGCTATCTTATGTATATTTTGTCAAGTTTCATTTATTATTTATTCAACTAATTGATTAGTTAGCCAATCAATTAGTCAACTAATCAATTAATCGATTAATCAATTAATCGATTGGGCAACTAATTGATTAGTTGAATAAAAACT